GACACACTTCCGGTGATGTCAGGGGGTGTGGCATATGCTAATGAGTTATGCTAATGAGTCCCCCTAGCTCTTTTTCTACGAAATGACCCCTGCAAACATGTTATCTTTTTCTAGGTAGACATGGGGAAGGAAACATAGGCACTCCTGGCAGATCACCCACATTCTTCACAGCTCACTAGCAGTGTTCCCTCTAAGCTGAGTTAGTGTGAGCTAGCTCACAGTTTCTTAGCCTCCGGCTCACACATTTTAGTCTCAGCTCAGGAAGGATGGCTCCAGAGCAAACTAATTTATGCAGCAGCCAAATCGCTGGCTCACAACTTTAATGCCAGTAGCTCACAAAGTAGAATTTTAGCTCACCAGACTCTGCAGCTTAGAGGGAACATTGCTCACTAGTCAGAGGCAGCACCTGCAGAAGGCCCAAGACCTTTCCTGCACAAGATTTCGGGACTCAGGGTGGGGTGGAGGGCGTAGGCACAAGGGGAACGCAAACATGTTGTTGTTGTTCAGTCGCATGGACCAGATCACGCCAGGCCTTCCGGTCTTCCGCCGTCCTCTGAAGTTTGCTCAACTTCATGTTCGTTGCATCTATGACACTGTCTAACCATCTCATCCTTTGCCGTCCCCGTCTTGATACATACATACATACAGCTGCACAATTATAGCAAGCATTCCTGTCAGCCACCCAGTAGTTCTGGGGAAGAGGAGTCAGGGAGAGAATAAAACTAATACCGTGGTAGCAGCTGCTTCTGAAACCTTATCTCAATCTGCATAGTCAGTCAGGTCTCTAACGGCCAGTCAGAAGCCCTGCTAGGCAGGAGCCCCACCTACCTCCATCCAGTTTATAAAGACACTTGGCAGACACCAAGAAAGATGTTGGTGAGCACCATGGTGACCATGGCTGTGGAGCCCTGTAGTCAGAGGCTTACGATGTCTGTCTAGTACCTCTGGATGTTACCAAAAAAAAAAAAGTGGAGGGACAGGTTTTGGTGCCAGACTCTCTAGTCCTTTCAAACATTGCCCCTTCTACATATACTTAAGGAGCGCAAAGTTAACCAAATGGAGCTATTAAAAAATATCACTACAACCATGGGAATAGTATTGATTCAACTTAGGTTTGCCAACCTCCAGGTGGGGGCTGGAGATCTCCTGGGATTGCAGCTGATCTCCAGACTGTGTAAATTGCTTGTTTGATTATTACTTATTTATTTAAAACATTTGTTCCACTTCTCCAGGAGAAAATGGCTGCTTTCGAAGGTGGACTGTGTGCCACTATACCATACTGAAGTCCCTCCTGTCCCTAAACAATACTTTCCCACACTCTACCCTCAACTCTCCAGGTATTTCTAAACCCTGGATTGGCAACCCTAATTCAACTGCTGCCATAGTCACGATCTATAACCATCCTTCACCACAGGGGCTAGGCAGGGCCGGATTTAGACTTGCTGAGGCCCTAAGCTATACAAAACCCAGGGGCCCCCTACTGGTCTCAGAAAAATTTAAAATATATACGCCTTTTAAATATTTGAAATAATTTTTTATATTGTGTTTTTATTTGAGGCCCCAGCAGATTGCGAGGCCCTAAGCTGTAGCTTATTTAGCTTATGCGTAAATCCAGCACTGGGGCTAGGCGAAAGTCTTGCTCTCCAAGTTGTTGTGAATGTTATTCCAGTCGTTCTCAAACGTCTTCCCCTCCACACACAACCTACAAAACCACAAGCTGCCACCCACTCCAACACCCGGGCAGGCAATTTCCTACTATTCAATAGGATAGATAGATGTAACCAAATGAATGTGCCTTCATAGTAGCGGTAGGGGGAGGAAAGAAGCCGATTTGCATCCCAGGAGCTACTCTCCCTTCAGCATGCATTTGCAAACCGGGAAGTGCATGGAATGTGCTGGCTAGCTATTGCTAAATCCTCCCTCTCTCACGCGTCCACCCGGAATTCAGCTGGGCGGCTACCAAGGCAGCAGTGGTGAGGTCATGTGATCTTCGCTAGTCTCACCCATTCGGCGGTCTCCCGGACAGAAAGTTATCGGGATCTTTCCCACCGACTTGACTGGGGTGTCTGTCTTGGAATCTACGTTTTGAAGTCAGCCGCAGGTAGGTCAGGGAGAAGAAAGGCGACACGTCGTGGGAGAAGACAGCAAGTAGGCACTAAGATCTCCTCTCCGCCGTAGAAAGGGGCTGAATGAGACCCGCTGTTTTACTGGAGAGTAGCGCGGAAGCCTGAAGCACCCAAGTGCCCGTGAAGGGTGGGAGGAGAACTCGCTAACATGCATTCTCCGTGCGGCGCCTGTTTTGGCTATTAGATCTGTGTCTGAACCCTTTTTTACATAACAATGATGCTGCGGCGAAGAAAGCTGGAACTAACCCATCTCTCAGTCGCGTCACTGTTTTTGTCCAAACGTCTGAAGGAAATAATGACGTTTAATTCTTATTGGCCTTCTTTTTTAAATTGTTCGGAAACGGCGCACGGAACTTAGTCTCCTGTCTAGAGAAATCATGGCTTTAAAGCTGGTCGGTTTTCACTCGAAGTAAGCTGTTAACAGATTCCTTTCTCGGTTACTGGATGCAACTTGCGTGCGGGCTGGTCACCCAAGAGCCTTGCCGCTAGTCCTGCGAGGGCCAAGAGGATTTTGATAGTAGTGTTTCTCAGACAGCAACCCCTGAAGACGCACGGCTTTGGAAGGGAAGCTTCAAGGCATGTTGTTCTTGAAAGGGGGCAAAATCCCAGGAAGTGGATGGATGCAAATTCTTGGGCATGCCACAAGCTTGAGCAATTTCACCAACTGTGTCTTTCCCCTGTGGTCTGTTGACAAGTGTGGCCCAATGTAGTCAATAATAGTTGACATGTATTTGTTTTGGAATTTTGTGGGCCAGATGGTTTACTTTGTAAGGTTCCACATTAGAAGAATGTGCTGGCAGACAAAGGCTCTAACACATATAATAATGGTGCTCTATCTTAAGTAATTTTATCCCTCTGATACTGAAGGTTCAACTTCTGGAAACTATCTATGTAACATTATGCAACCATGATGACATGCACGCTAGACTGGTTTGGGGGGGCGGCTCATAGCATGTTTCTACCATTGTATTCATCCAGGGTGCTTGTGAGGACTTGTGGCTAATGTTGCATATAGCTATTTGAAAGATTTCTAATGACTAATATGTCTTTTCTTGACAGGTACCGGGTTATGTTCATTTTCTACCTATTGTTGCTTCAGCTGCTGCAAACATTACTTGCATTTCCACATTACCAAAGAAAACTAAAGGTATCAAAGTATGCAATGAAAGAAGGTAATTTTCACTTAAAAAAAAAGAAACTGTACTTTGTAAAACTGACTAGATCAGCTAATACTGAAATTGTGTTCCCATTATGAAGCACAAGGTTAGCCACACAATGCAAAATAATGATTTGTATATCAAAGCTTTAACTTTCCTTCATTATATAGAGAAACAAGTGTGGTGAAGACTTGTCCAGGTCCTATATCATAAGACAGGTCAAGAAATAATTCATTTATGTGCACAAGAGATCCCAAGAATGTATGATGATAGCCATCACAGTATGAGCTAAAACACATAGTTCTGGATTTAAACAGCATGTTCAGTCAGTTTCCCTATACTAAACATGTATGGCAGAAGACTGCAGGTCACAATAGATCTAGGATGGCTTCACACAACCATCAGTGTTGGCATACTATGTAAATTTATCATTTCGCTGTTGTATTATTTAAGCATCATCTGAAATTATCCATAATTCATCCACATGCCAGTCCCCATTAGAGGTGTGTATTATATGCAGCCCTCTAAGCTTTAGCTAAATATGCAATCTCTGCTTAATTGGCACCATCAGATTCATAGAGAGGTTATGCAGGGTTGTTTTTTTTTTACCAGGGAAATGTCTCCATCAGACTTCCTTGAAAGATTAACAGGGAAATGATATCTTGTTGAGGTGTGTGCCTACTAAAATCACTACATTATCTTGCTATAAGGTTGATCTCCGCTTCAAACTGCCTTCAGTTTAACCACGATGTGCTCCAAGCGACACCCAGTTCTGTTTCTCCTTAACAGAACGCAGTGAACTCCTTGATATCGAGAAAAAAAGTGTTTGGTGGTGGCAATGAAATGGATGATGGCCAATAAACTGAAGCTCAGTCCAAATGAGACATGGACCCTCAAATGATTAGAGCACCGCCTGTTCTAGATTATTTAGTGTTCTTTCTAGCAGGTTTGTAGCTTGTGGGTATTTTAAGTCCATGCTTTCAGAAGAAGGCATAAGTCTCCCCTTTTAGCATCTTTGATTAGAGTGGCAGCTATAGGCTGTAATTCTAAGGACACTTTATTGCTAGTAAATCCCATTGGGTAACAAGCTACTTTATTTTATTTATTTATTTATTTTATTACATTTATACCCCGCCCTCCCCGCGAACAGGCTACTTCTGAGCAGACATCATTCAGATTGCTCCCATAACCTTTCCCTAAAAATGAGATTTTCCCACAGTTGTTTGTATTATTGTTGCCCATTGCAAAGATCAAAGTGCTGAGCCTTACCTTTAAAGCTTTAAACAGCATGGGACAAGGGTACCTGAAGGATTACCTACTCCCATACTGCTCTGCTTGTCAGCTTAGTTCCCAAGCCTTGCTCTGAGTACTCCTACCTTATGAAGCAAGGCAGATGATATTCAGAGACAGGGCTATTCCAGGGGTTCTTGTTATGGACTGCCTTCTACAGGGGTTCACCTGGTACCTAATCTGTTATTGTTCAGGTGGTAGATGAAGACATTTTTGTTTGGTGAGGCCTTTTAATATGCTGTTATTAGATGACCTTTAGAGGTGTTTTTGATATCTGGACAGTTTTACAGATCTTACTTTATATTTTACTGATGGAACTGTTTTATTTGGGATACTGTTTTATTGTGGCTTTACTGTACTCTTATCTGACTGCTTTTATGGATATATAATTTGCTGCTTGTCTGCTTCACAGCTATTATCTCACGATTATAAGATCAATACCATTCTTTTACTAGTATATTATTATTTTGTTTTTAATGTTGATTTTTTATTGTTCTGTTGTAATCTGACTCAGGCATCCTCAGGAGCAACAGGGTATAAATACCCTCCAATATGATTTAAAGTAAGGATAGTCATTACCATTGGTTTTCCAGATCACACAGTTTCTTGCTAATATGTACAAAAGTTTGGGGTCAGTCATAGTGCTGGTTATGTTTTTATTTTTCTTGGCCAACCAGCCACACTTTTCTATCTAGAAATTCAGGTTACTATTACTAAGGTTAACTATCACATATTGCTGCCCTGTCATATATCTTAAGATTTTAGAAAAATTCTCAGTTCACTTGAAGTTCTGAACCTTAGAGTTGAGCTAAAAAATCAAAATAAAGAACATTTCCTACTAATCTTGTCACTGTGGATGACACAGTCCACATTAGATTCCATTTTTCTTAAGCAGTCCCGCTGGCTCTTCAGTGACTTTACAAATTGATGGGGACACACAGTTCCTTTCTTACAGATAGGATGATAAGAACAAATAGGCTAAGCTGTGTGGAGAGGCGACTAATATCAAACATGCAAATAGTTTCAGAGGGTAATCATGTTGGTATGCAGTACAACAGTTAGATTTGAGTCCAGTAGCACCTTAGAGACCAAAAAGAGTTCAAACACACACACACCCTCCAGTCCAGTAATTTTTAGATAGTGAATCTGATCTGGCTCTTCGGCATGCAGAAATCAGTCAGAACTTCAGATTTTTGTTCCTGACACCTGCTCTTCTCGTTACCAATAATCTTTTTTCCTCCTTGGGGATATTTCCTTCTTTGTGATATGTAAAAAGAAAGTAAAATGTCTAATGTGATTCTTCTCTTGTTGTTGTTTAAAGGTAACTGCCCCTTAATGTTATATGAAGAGTAATAAAAGCAGCAAATGTGTGACTTTCTTGTAACTAACGAATAGCTTTCTGAAATGTCCCAGAATAAGAAGAAAAATTCCTAAGGGATGTACAGCGCAATTCCTGGGAGTAATCCCCACTGAATAGACCTAAACAGAATTCTGAGAAGATCTCTTTCGGACTGAAGTTATCACAGTAGTATCAGATTTGCAATGGGTGCATACTGCTATGACCCCTGACCAACTACAGGCTTTCCTACTGAACAGCATAGCTTCATGGCCATATTAACCCCCCCCACACACCTTTCTGATATTGCCGAAGCGTGATTTTTTTTAGACTTAAGAAAGTGCCATATTCATACAAGAAGAATATGCATTTCAAGCCTTCAGAACTGCACCAGAGCCTGGTGTCCCGTCATTATTTAGAACTGCTCAACTGTACCTTTCAAAAGTAGCTTATGTGTTTAATTTGAAAAAATAAATAAAAGCTCTGTCAGAAATGAACCATAATAAGACAATTTTAGGCAAAATGGAAGGCAGCTTGGGAGAGAGAGCTAATTAAATTAAATTAAAGGCGGCTTGTGCCTGTGGTGCTCCCCCCTCCCTGTTTGGTGTAGTGGTTAAGAGTACCAGACTCTAATCTGGAGAACCGGGTTTGATTCCCCACTCCTCCACACGCAGCCAGCTGGGTGACCTTAGGTCAGTCACAGTTCTCTCAGACCTGTTCTCTCAAGAGAAGTTCTCTTAGAACACTCTCAGCCCCATCTACCTCACAGAGTGTCTGTTGTGGAGAGAGGAAGAGAAGGCGTTTGTAAGCCACTCTGAGACTCCAAGCGAAGGGCAGGGTATAAATCCAACTCTTCCTCTTCTCCCTGCCAAAGCGTCCCCATCTTCAGCATCACATCATGTATGAAGGTAGTTCATACACATTTAATGCTGTAGAGCCAGTTTGGTGTAGTGGTTAAGTGCGCGGACTCTAATCTGGGAGAACCGGGTTTGATTCCCCACTCCTCCACTTGCATCTCTGCTGATGTGACCTTGGGTCAGTCACAAGCTCTGGCACAGCTGTCCTTGAAAAAGAGCAGTTTGTGTCAGAGTTCTCTCAGCCCCACCCACCTCACAGGGTGTCTGTTGTGGGGAGGGGAAGGGAGAGGAGTTTGTAAGCCGCTCTGAGACTCCAAGTGAAGGGCGGGGTATAAATCCAATCTCTTCTCTTCTTCTTCTTCTTCTTAGAATGCTGAGGGGTCTTTCACTTAGGCAATTATTCCGGAGTGAATGCATTGAGATATTTTGAAATGCCAAAACTATGTTTCTGATTTAGATTTTTAAGCTTGCTAGTTGTTCTAAGGCTGTGGTCACACGCGCCAGTTGAAGCGGAGGGGAAGCAAGGCTATCTCCTCCGGGGGAATTTGACACACAGTTGCAAGATCACACCTCCCTTTGTAGCTGTGGGCTCAGCCCGTCACTGTGTGATCAGATGCAACTGCGGGTGAGTCAGGTTTTTTTGCCGTTCGTTTCCCGTGCGCATAAATGAGAAATTGCACCTCTGCACTGAGGGCCCCCTATGGAGTATGCAATGATGCGCGTACTGCAAAAAGGGGAGGAAAAACTGACACCAAGCTGGGATGGAGTGATCAGACCATCCCGACAGCATGAGAGGGTTGCTTGCACGGTCAGACAGAGGAAAGTCTGTCCATGGCCCATCAGAACCCGACTTTTCCTGGTGTCTTTTAATTCCGTTTCTGCGGCGGTGCAGCACGGGTTGCCGACGACGGCAGGATGCTTCCCAGATGTTGCTGTCTGATCGCACCCTTTAGATCCGCCAGGCATTCGCACCTGTGTCAGATCTAAAGGCGCGTGTGATCGCAGCCTAAGTACAACAATTCAGTGGTAAGCTGTGAACGATGCGTTACAGCCTTTGAAAAAGACCCGTACTTTTAAAGTGATGAAACCAGAAAGGGTAGCTTTTTAATTTTACTACCAGTTATGAACAGACCCGTATCTATGGCGCTCATGTAGCCATGTCCCCTCTCTGCTTTCCTGTTTTCATTTTAAAAATTCAGCCTCTAGCACCTTTCCTTGCTGACATAAAAGGAAAAACGTGCAATAGGTTTTCTGCTAGATTGCCTGGAAAGCACTGGGAGTGAGGAAGCTGTGAGAGGACTCTGGAAGTGAGTCAATTAACCAGTTTACTGACTTTCTTCTCATCTGATTATAGCCTGTTCTTCTTGGGACCTGTGAGAGCATTGGACCCAGCACTGGAATGTATTTTGGGACCCTCCTGTCAATTACACCTCACAATAGCCTCCCTCCTTCAGAAATTAGAGCTTCATTGGCTCTAAATTCAATTGCTGCCAGTTTAGGGAATGGCTCCAGCAAGCTCATTCCAGGATTCAGAAGTGGGGATGAAGCACAACAAGACTGAACCAAAGATGATCTTTTAGGATGAGACTCAAGATTTTTAAAAAATTGTGATGAAGCAGGGCATGAGTCAAGTGACCAGGAATTCAGGGCAAGTAGACGACTTGCAGAAAGGTTCATAAAATACACAAGGTGAAGCAGAAGTGCATGAGAAACCTGTTGCCTATTTGCAATCTTTGTGGTGGGGCTGCAGTGTTGTTAACCCTAACCCTAAGTCTAGGACAACAAACATAGTCCCAGTTGTCACCAGGAGACTCGCAAGACAGAGGTTGCCATTTTGGAGAATGTGAGTGCCAGTCCCATTAGATATAGATTGCTGCAGAGATTCTTTGAAAAAATCCTAATGGAATAGGAGACCTCATTGAAATACCAGAGGCGGGAGGTTGGGGCAAGCTTAATTTAGCCACCTCTCTGAATAACTTCCAGGCCCCAAGTAGGGGTCAGTCACCAGAGGTCGCCATGATTTCCATGTGCACACACACACTTACACACATACGCACACATGAAAATACAAAAAAAATCCCATATACCCCAAAACCAAAAAAGAAGAATCCTAATGGAGTTCTGATTTAAGTATTTTTTACTATTTTTTTCCAGTATTCGCCTCAGCAGAGCAAGCCAATTCATTCATTGGACGGCATCTTCTAAACAATATACTTGAGCTTGAAATATTTAACACAGATAACCTTGAAAGAGAATGCCATGAAGAACTCTGTAATTACGAGGAAGCAAGAGAAATTTTTGATGACCCAGAAAAAATGGTAATTACTTTACTTTGGTGGCCTGTATAGGAGACATTTCAAAGGTCAATGTGGAAGACCATTTTAAATGTTCAATAACTAGTTCACAACCCATTCTGCTTAGGAGTCAACCACTGATGTTGTCGTTTGATTCGTTCTGGTTTAGTGCAGTTGGTTCTTAGTGGAACAAGAATTACTGCTCATAGAGATCAAGGGATCTGGAACATGCGCTGGGACAAGGAATTCCCTTAAAGCTCTTCCATATCTATGTGATTCACTTTAACATTTATTGGATGAATGTCCAAGTACTGCAGTTGCTTACTGGGTACAGGTAGATCTTGTGGTGGTTCACTAAGAGGACTATAGCTCATTACCATTCAGTACCACTAAAGAGGGAAGGTGTTTGGTGCCTTCACTGGAGGGCATCAGGATGCAGTGACAGAACAACTGAGATATTGCTACAGCACAGCTAGTAAGGGGATAGAAGAAGCCACTGCCAGCAAGCAATATCCCTGTTTGACTACCCCTTTTCATTCCATTTGTATAATTCACAAGGACAGCAGGTGATCTCTTATCTGTACAATGTGTTCTGCTACTGGCGAAGAACCAGAAATTTCACTTAGGGGTGCGCTGTGACCAGAAGATCTATGTGTTTGGGCCTGAGGGGGCCTGTGAGCATTGTGGGCACACTTCCCTTCCTTGTGGTGTCTGGTTAGGGCTTGCTTGTACAGGCGGATGTTTGTTGAGGTAGATGTTGGTTCATGAGGTAGGTGTTTTGTTATGAGGTAGATGGACTGTTTCTCCCTGTATGTCCCTGTGTACAAGCTATGGTCTGCAACTTACCAAGTTCTGGTTGTTCCCTCATTAAAGGTGGCTTGCCTGACACTGGCAAAGGCCTGTGCTTTCTCTGCAATTGCTCTGACTTTATAGAATGGGCTCCCCAAGGAAGTCAAGAGTGCTATATGAAACTTTCAGGAGGCACTGCAAGGCTGTTTTATTCACCAGCTTTTTTAATGGAGTATAAGTTGCAGGCATTTTATTACGTTTTATTAGGTTGGAGGGAGAATTTGGAGTTCTATTGTTTGATGTTTTAATTATGTATTGTAAGCCACCTTGACTTATGGGTAAAGGTGGATATAATTTTTTTTTAATAAGTAAATAAACATACATACAAACTACATCAAATGCTGAGCCTGGGGAGCTCACTGTTACATGACATTAAGGCTTTGGTCTGAAACACATGCATATGGAAGAGTGCGCTATCAAGACTAGTGTAGCATAAGGCTGATTCATGACTCAGCATATCCGAGCCCCATAAAAGTCAGCCTTTGCCAGCAGTAGCTCGTGTTCTACTGTTCTGGGAATGGGAGGCCAATTATTTCCAGCATGCGTGCTTTTTAAAAAAATCTGATTTTTAAAGCCCATATTCTGGTAAGAACATGGAAAATGTTAACTTTTACACTAATACAAGCAATATCTCCAGAAGTCACAATACAAGCAAATACTACTGTGGTTAAGGAATCCTTTCCTACTGTCTTGCATCAGGTGTTGGGTCTTCTCACCCAAATTATTACTACTTGTGGAAATAGCTTCATTAATATTATCATTAAGGCAAATCTTTAACATTCTGAACCAATTCCATCCAGAGTTTATCAGGAGCAGCTCTCAGGGAGAGACACATTCTTAACAGAAATTTTTCTTAACCTTAGAAGTATGTATTTTCCTTCCATGTTCCTGTAGATTTACTCTCAAGCATATTGTTTTATTTTTCTAGAAGACTTTTTGGAGTGAATATGTCTCTAGAAATTCTGGCAAAAAGCCAGGTAAGACGAAAACACTCATGTCTTGGTCAGCTTTGCTTTTTATGTCACAAATACGAATGTAGCTTATTTTCAATAGTTTAATCAGAATTTACTTGTCTTTGCATACTTATTGTCATGTTTTCCTAAAGTACTATGCAGTCCTATTGGACAATGAAACCTCACTTTTACCTTTGAACCAAAGCAATTTTTGCAATGGTCTTGGAGTTGCCAGATGTTGTATGATACTTGTGTATAGTGCAATATGCTGCTTGTCTCAGTGGAGGAGGGTACCTAGAGTGTGGACTGTATGGCATTATACCCTGTTAAATCCCTCCCCTCTCCAAACTCCACCCTCCCCAGGTTGCACCCCCAAATCTCTAGGAATTTGCCAATCCAGAGCTGGCAACCCAACTCATAGACAATGCCAGTGCAGTGCTTCAATTCATACTGGGAAAAGAAGTGTGAAACATTGTATAAAGCATTTATTTTCCCTTTGGGTCAAAACATCCCGAGTACAGGAAAGAGTACCTTGGGTGGATGCTCTTTTTTTGTATTCTAGAAAGTGTGGTTTGTTTCACTCACATATTTTGTTTTACCTGGAAGCAGCCACTCTGTGAACATGTTGGCCTGCTGCACTCCGCTCATCCAGGTTTTATGCTGCAACTTGTGGCAGGCACCAAGTCTGGTTGCAGGAATGGACTGGGAAATCAAAATATGCCCTAGAGCAAACAAAGCTTGCTGGTGCAAGAATCAGCAACTGGCAGCATTCACACATATCATTATTGCCACTGAAGGATGCAAACCAAACAGCCCCTGCAGAGCTACTGGGGCTTGGAGCTGCTTGCTCCTGGCTGCCAGTGGCTTGCCATGGCGGCAGTCCGCTGTGAACTTTCCTAGTAAGTTAAATAGCCAGCTTGCCCTGGCTTTGAGTCGGTGTGTTGTATAATGATAGGCCAAAAGTTTTTCTCCAGTAGATCTTGGGCTTCCATGAGACAGGTGTTGTGGGTCATCAAGATACTCCCGGTATAGCAGGAGACTCCCCTCCAGCGACACCCCAACTCCACTTGGTAGGCAGATAAACAAAAAATGCCATTGTATTGGTTGATGGCATGACACAATTTCTGGGGCAAACCCAGAAGGAAAGTCACACAGCTCTAGGACTCAGTGAAAATTATATGGTAAAATCATAGTTTCTGCTGATTGCTAGAGTGATGTGATGTCACTTCTGAGTTTGCCCCCCCCCCATTTTTTGCCCCCCAAGGACGACAGCACCCCTGATGTCCTTGCCCCTCCAGTCTCCTGCTGAGTGCCAGCCACCCTCTATATGGGTGATGCTCAGTGTGGAACAATTATTACAAAATAACTTGTATTTATGTAAAGTTGCATTTGTAATTTTTTTCAGAATAAACCAGGAACAGTTTTAGGACGTTTGAAAAACTAACACATCAGTGTTTTGAGATAGTAGCAGATGAAGGATGTAAAATTAAGATCTAGAATCAGAGCAGGCTTCTGATATACTTTATTCTTTTGACCTGTTTAGATGGCAAAGAAGCACAGGAGATTGATGTTATACTGCTTCTGACTGGTCTAATTGCAATTGGAGTGCTATTGGTTATAACTGGCTTACTAATTTATTATCTCTGCAAAAGAAAATGCCCACGAAGACAACCACGACGGTAAGGCACTGAATGGTGGAACTATTTAATATGGTTAGAGTTGGCATTAAATCTCTGCATCCTAAATACATTTCTGGATTAGGCCTGTATAGATGCAAGCAAACATGTAACAAATGCAGTAAACTAAATCCAAAACATATCATGAGTGCAATTTCCCCAAAGAATTCATAGACTTATAGACTGAACAGCTGACAGTTATTGTTTGGTATTGATGTGCATTTTAGTAGTTCTTGCTTTTTTGGTAACAGCTTCAAGAAAGTTCTGTTGCTTTATTTCTACAAAAAATAAATAAATAGTGGGATCCTCTTGGGACCTTCGTACAGTTTGGCCACCCTGTCTAATACTGTAGTTAAATTTGTACACAAAGATATACAAAATGATTGAAAACAGAGGAAAATTCCAATGTAAATATCAATATTAGAACTCTTCAAAAGCAACCACTGATGTTTGTTGATACCACAGTGGTAAAATCAGAGGTGGGTGGGGAATAACAGAACGATCTCCTGATGGGGATTTCAAAGTTTAAAGTGAAGACTCTTTATGGGAGTGAAAACTTCACATGAAAGCACCCTTCTACTGACGTACGTGTTTTGATCTTCAGATAACTAATGCAATATGTGCTGATAATTAAACCAGTTCTTGTGAGAACTGACAGGAAACTATCTTTGTCAGTGACAGATATCCTGATTGAGCAACAAGAGATCAACGCATGGAAGCAACCTTCTATGTGTGTAATTTATGTAAATCCAGATGAGTGCCCGCTTGAGATACATCTTTTCAAGCACATGGAAAAGTCCATCCAAGGCCCCCCAGTGTTAAGCATTACCAGAACTGGGGTGGGATTGTAATGTTGATGTTCCTATTGTCCCTTAAACAAGTTGCTGATTTCATGGCTACTTTCCAATTACACAATTTTAAATTTGCTTCTGTGACAACAAAGCTTTTTATATTTTCTTAAGCATTTGCTGTTTAGTATACCTGATAAGTTAGAGAAGCATGAAATACTTTCTATGTTTAAAGCAATTTAACAGAACATCATTCTAGGGTTATTTCACATTTAGGAAAAATGGGGGTTGTTTCACTGTGATGAACTTTGTGTGAAGTGACTCAAGGAAACCACAGGAAGCAGTTAAAACTATGTTATATAGTACCCATATAGCTTCTTTAAACTAATTCTGGACAACTTCTACAGCTCTCTTCTGTGGTACCACTACAGGAGCCTCTAATGACCATATCTGCACTGTAGCATGGGGTTAGAACCAGATAATCTTGGCACTCTTCCTACAGAGAAATATCCATTTAACAGCAACCATACTTCCTTCCGGAACTGACACCAAATGCAATTATTATAGATCACTTTAGCATGGGAAGGCATCAGTGCCAGGGTCATGGGGACTTGTAAGATTATTCCACAGATATCACTGTACAGTCCTAGCTTTTATAGGCTGCGGTCACACGGAACAGTAGCCACGCTAGAGAGACGGAAGATAGGCAGATTTTCCGGGCGCGATCTCACCACCACATCTGGGAAGCGTAGAGCTACCGTGGCTCAACCGAGGCTTCCCTCCGAAGATGCGCGGCAAAAAACTAGTACCTCGGAGGTACTAGTTTCCGGAAACCGCGGGGCAAGGGCGGGCGTCTGATCGCGTTTCCGGTGGCATCCGGCGCCCACCCATGTCCCCTCGCAAACAGGTCATTTCCCCCCCCCAAGACTCCATGGATGCGCACAAGCACCCAACGGAGCATGTGCACACTTCAGTTTAAAAAAGTAAAAAAGAAAAACAACCCCGTTTGCCGCACCGCCCCACTTCTTTGCCTGTGGTGTGATCGGCACCTCCTCCCTGGCCACCGCCAATATTGCGCGGTGTTAGCCCACTGAAGACAGAACACGGGTGCAAGGTGATCCAATAAAGACTGGAGTCTTTCAGGCTTATGTACAAGTAATTTACAGTTTATTATACAAAGCCTCCACCAAATCTTTACACTGAGTGACGTAATGCTCCGCTGACGATCACATTCCAAGAAGGAATGAACAGTACAGTACATCACTGAATATATACAACCATTGACCAATCAGGGCCAATGCTGAGTCACTCTTACACAGTGTTAATTAGCTCTGGCTAGAGCCAGCCAGAACTGGTCAGAGCCAGCTCTTATGTCACTTAGAGCTGTCAGCTCCTGTCAGTTAGATGCCTGTGATCTACAGCATGACTTAACATTAACATGGAATACTGACAGACGGGACCTCAACCGGACGTCTGATCTCGCAGTTGCGCGTATGTTTGCCACGCTTCCCCCCCCCCCCCCCCTTTCCAGCCCGTGTGTCCGGGGCCATAGTTAATTTTCTTGAGAGGCTATATGCTTTTTCTATCCTGTCTTGGTGCACATGTCTCAGTAAGCTTTAGGCAATCCCAGAACAAGTGATAGGTGTCACAAGGCCAACCCAACCTTATTTTCTGTCCTGCTGGACTAAAAGGCCCTGGGTGGCTCAAAGAAAGAAACCTTAGCCTGCTGTACTTATAGCCCAACACCACCACTATGAAATGCTATATAATTCTTGTTTTATGCTGCCATTCTTCAAAGTTCTTTTTTGTTTTTAAAGACACACAGGTTGTCGGCTGCATAATTCTTCCATCTTTAGGCGACATGAAGAATTTTCCTTAAATCCTCTCTCCCCATGCCCTGAACACACAGGACTGCCAAGCTATGAACAAGCAGTGGCACAAAGGGGAGATTATGATGCTCCACCTCCACCCTATCCAGGACTTTCAGGAAGATTTAAAGCATTCAAGAAGTCTCTCTCACTTCCTGGCCCTTGATTAATAAATATGACTTCTCAAAAGGATGAGACTGAATCTTGACTAAAAGAAATGTGCAGCTGAAATGCTGCAATATTGTGGTTGCTTCAGGATGGCCTTTCACAATGTGAAAAGGATGTGGCTCTTCAGCACACCTGAGAGGAAGTGAAGTGTGTCAGGTGAACAAGGAAGCCATCCTTCTGTAATGCTCTGGTGCCCTATTGTGAAATAATCCTTTTTCATACTTCTTCCCTAAGAACTGTTGTGAACTTGGCTTCTGTGCCTTTTGAGCCAATTGATATGCCATTTTTCTTGTATGTTACGAACTGAAAAGTTTAATGGTGATTTTTAAAAACCGTGTGTATTTTTTTAACTGTTAATCAGAATGAATGATAACAATGTAAATGTAACAAGGCAGTGTTATTTCTAAATACTTCTAGTAATATTTTAGATGAACTGGTAGTCTGTTAATATTTCATGGGTGATAGTGAACAAAGTTGGAACTCACGTACCTAACTTAAAAGGCCTCACTACCAAAGGGATATGACTGAAATTCTCTTCTCACTTTTCCTCCTTGCTTTATGCCCTCATCTTCAGGATGTGGCCTGTTTATTGCCTATCACATCTGTGATAAGAACTTAACATGACTGCTGTGCAAACTTGGAAAATTTGTTAATGAAATTTGTACATGAAGATAATTTATAGAGAATTGCTGCAATTTTAAAACACTTTATGTTTGTGGCAAATGTTATCACTAAATTAAAACTACAAGCTTTCCAGGCTTGCTGTCTCCTTCACACACAAAAAATGCGCACACAATGTCTACAAATGCCTGGTATAGAGATGTACTTAGGATGATTTTGCTTTTGCGGAGACAATTATAAAATGGAGCAGAAGAGTGCTTTTTGGGTCCCCACTGGAGAGTGTGAAGAAATTCCCTCCATCCCGATTTCAATTATTGTTAACTGCTTTGTCCATGCACAAGAACAGCACAGCTGCAGACTCGTAGCTGACAGAAGGGAGGTGGCTAGAGAGAGGAGCCCTCAGACTCCCAGCACAGAACACTCCAGCTCTCAAGAACCACCTATACTGTTAAGTCTGTGTGTTTTCACCTTTTCTTTGTTCCCTTACTCAGCCCAAAAACTTGAACAGATCATGTGTATTATTTTATTATTTTAACTTCCTTGTATTTTGAACTTTGTCTGATGTCTGGAAACTCACCATGCCTATTCAGTCTTGCTATCTGAAGTCTGGAGAGAAGCTTGTCATCCCTGGAACATGATACATGCACTTGCCTGTAAAAGCATAGGGGGACAGAGAGATTGGATTTATACCCCACCCTTCACTACCCGAATGAGTTTTAGAGTGGCTTACAATCTCCTTTCCCTTCCCCTCCCCACAACAGACACCTTGTGAGATAGGTGGGGCTGAGAGAGCTCTTTCAAGGACTGCTCGTGAGAGAACAGCTCTGAAAGAACTTGTGACTGACCCAAGGTCACACCAGCAGCTGCATGTGGAGAAGTGGGGAGTCAAACCCGGTTCTTCCAGATTAGAGTTCATGCTCCTAAATGGCAACACAGGTACAGAGTGTAAAACATATGACTCCATCTGGCAGAAGATACTCTCAGACTTATTGGTGGCAGTTGATGGTTGCCCAGCTTGTAATGTTCCTAGTTTCCACCTACCTTTTTCCTGTTTACCAGCCTAGCCAGGAGATGGTTTTGTATGTGTGGACAAAACTGCAAGATACACGGGTGAGGCTCTATGAACACAGACTGAGTTCTTAAAAGAGAAAGATCTTTATTCATTTTGACACAGCTTTAGAGCACATGTACATGGGGAAAAGGTGTATCGAAGCACTAAGGACTGCTGCAGAATTAAGAAAGGAAATAAAAATACTTGAAGCTATTCTAAGCTCTAGAGACACAAATGTTACCTTGGCATCCCCTCCATGGGATGAACACAAGCTCACAGGAACTTATGAAACAGAGGCAGACATCCCTCTATTCCCTCCCTTGTTCCTGGTCTGGCTTGAGCACTGCTAACCGGGTGTCCAGATCTCTTAAACACTTCCTGCCCTAGTTGGATGGGTTTCCCTTCACCCAAACCTGAGTTTGGAAACTGATGCTCCTCGTGGGTCACTCAGTACTCTTTTCCTGCAATCAGATCGGAGGACGTCTTCCTCCATTATTGCCTCACTCAGGTCATCCAAATAGCCATCCTTCCCATTTGCCCAACTGCCATGAAGGGGCATCTCCACTCAGCTGGCAATTACGTGGGTTATTATTCCCTTCCTTGGGAAAGAGTGTTCTTCCCTGAGGTTTGGGTCCCGTGGATGTAATTCAAAAGCATCTTACACTCACCTGTCACAACACTACCCACCTGAATATATTTGTGTATATATTTTACAGAACCCACAATTATCTATTTTACACTGGTGAATAAATTACTACATGATGTGATGCAGGACTAGCCCCGGACAGCAGAACTGAAAAGTTAGCATGGAAACTATTCCACAAAGCCGGTCACCAGGCCATGACTGTACTGGGAGCACAGTGACTCAGGTGTCTTATGTGTTAACTTTCTAATGCAGAGCAGGGGTCGTTTCGTAGAAAAAGAGCTAGGGGAACTCATTAGTATAACTCATTAGCATATGCCACACCCCTTGACATCACCGGAAGTGTGTCATAAGGCCACACACCCTGACATCACCGGAAGTGTGTCATAAGGCCACACACCCCGCCCCCAAAGGTCCCGGCCGCCGGTGCCGGCCTTGCAGCTCCACTGCCGAGCCCCATGAGGGGCCGGCGGTGGACCTGCAAGGCCGGCGGGAGTGCAAGGAAGTCCCGCGAAGGCCCTCCCTGGCCCCAGGCAGGCAGGGGTGGGGAGAGGCAGGGAGGAAGCAACTTACCCTCCCTCTTCTCCTGCCTCCTCCTGGCTGAATGAGGGCCGGAAGCGGGGCGGCCGGAAGCAGGGGGCGGGGCTTCGTCATGTGCCCCCCGCCCCCTGTACCTCACCCGGGGGAACTGCGATCCCCCGCGATCCCCCCCGAAATGACCTCTGATGCAGAGCATCATCTTTCCGCAAGAGTCACGGTGCAATGAAAAGTTACCATATGAGGTATTTTAGTCATGGTGTGGTGAGGAACCATATGGAACACTTTCCACATCACCTGTGTCTACCCTTCAACTTTCTTCCTATTAAATAAATACAACAGCAATGCTTGGGTTTTAAGGCATATTGCTCAGGATTGTAACCACTGCAGTTATGCATAACTGCATTGGTTAACACCCTAAACTACATACCGTAATTCACTATTTCATATGTTACCTAGGCCAACAGTGGCAAGCGTTTACCATTGTATTCTTGTAAATTTGCATAAGGTGCACCTGTAGAAATCCATTCTTCTACTCAGTGTTAAAAGAAAACATGAGCCTGGCTGAGTCCCAAGAATCTACTGATTCAGTCAGCACCCCTCTATTTCCTCCCTCACCAAAAATAATTTTCTTACTCAGGCAAATATGATCTATAGCATTCACACAGTATTTTTCTTATAAAAATTAAAAATTAGGCCAGAGACTGAGTAGATTCTTGAGCCCAATCAAGACTACTACCTCCAGCTCCATAACCTTTTAAGGGAACAATTTTACAGGCAGATATTGAGCTGCAGGTTTTTGTTAGTTTCATCTTTTGTCATCAAGTCTCAACCAACTTACGGTGACCCCTGGTGGGTTTTGAAGGCAAGAGACATTCAGAGGTGGTTCACCATTGCCTGACTCCGTGTAGCAATCCTGGGGACTTCCTTGGTGGTCTCCCATCCAGGGCTTTTTTTGTAGAAAAAGCCCAGCAGGAACTCATTAGCATATTAGGCCATACCCCTGACAGCACAGCTCGTTAGCATATTAGGCCACAACCCCATGCCTTCCCTTGGCTTGCCCGGGCAAGTCGGCCCTTGGAGAGAAGGGGAGGCCGTTTAAACTGCCTTCCCTTGGCTTGCCTGGGCGCCCCGCAGCTGCATCCCCGATCCTTCCAGGCCCCCCCCCCCCCGGCCCCCCCGCCTCTGCACCGGGGGGGGTCACCGCTCTCCAGGCCTTCCCTCTGTAGCCACGCACACAGAGGTTTTGGCCGTAGTGGGCATGGCCAACTCTGAAGCTAGCCGGAACTCCGTTCCTGATTCCTGCCCAAAAATAGCCCTGCCCAAATACTAACCGGGGCTGACCCTGCTAGCTTCCAGGATCCAATAAGATTGGGATATCCAGGTCAGGGCTGTGGTAGCAGCTTTTTTTAAAAAAAGCAACTCAGCCTTAAAATAGAGCAAGCCCCAGAACCTATTATCTGATCATTCTGCACTACCTCCCTACACCTTTGAGAATAAAACTGAGTAGAGCGCTCAAGGGCAAGTATTTATTTTTATGACTTATAAAAATGCTTTCTCCCCAATGGGGACCCGAAGCAGCATCATATACTTTTCTCCATTTTCTCTTCACCATAATCCTGTAAGGTAGCTTAGGCTGAGAGAGTGTAACTGACCCAAGATCACCCTGCAAGCTTCCACAGAGGAGTGGGGATCTGAACCATGGTCTCCCAGACCCTACTCCAGAGGTCTCCAACCTTTTGAGTCTGTGGGCCCCTCTGGATTTCCGACATCGTGTGGTACACACAACGACAAAATGGCTGCCATAGGAGGCAGAGCCATGCTCACACACACAGGAAATCCAAGTGTGGGGAAGAAGGGAGATAATTTAAAAGTATTTTAAATTTAAATAAAAGCTATGCCCACCCCCGCGCAGGTTTGGAATCCAATCCAAAGCAAACTCGTAAACTAAAACCAAAAGCAGTGTACTAGTACATTTTAAATACACACACACACATGTGGGGACCCTGCAAGAGCAGCTATCTCATTCTCCCCAACTTTTGCTTCCTCTCCTCTCCCCCTACTCCTCTGTCCCTCTATCTTTCTCCCTCCAACCACCTGTTCTCTTACTCCTCCATCCCTGTCACTTCCTCTCTTTCTGCCCCCCACCCCATCACTCTCCCACACTCACACCCATTCAACCCACAGCAACATTAGCAGCAATGCCTCTCCAGGAATCACAATGGATCTCCAAACTACAGAGATCAGCTTCCCTTAGGGTTCCCAGCTCCAGGTTAGGAAATTCCTGGAGATTTGGGGGTGAAGCCTTGGGAGGGAAGCAACTTCAGCAGGGTATAATGGCATAGGCATACAATGGCGTAGTTCCACCCTCCAAAGCAGCCACCTTCTTCAGGGGAGCTGATCTCTGTCATCTGGAGAGCAGCTGTAATTCTGGGTGATTGCCAGCCATTAATTGGAGGTTGGCAGCGCTATTTTCCCTTGAAGAGATGGCTGCTTTAGATGATGGAATCTTTGCCATTATACCTGTCTGAGGTCCTATCCTCCTCAAATCCCACCCCCTCCAGGCTCCACCCCTCAAATCTCTAGGAATTTCCCAACCTCCAATCTACCCTTACCTGCCCCAATTCAGCTTTCCACCACCTGCCTCCCTGCACACTCTACCTAGGAAAACTATGGTCTTTCTCCACAGTGGGGACCAAAGCAGCTTATATTATTCTCCTCTCCGCCTTTTTATCCGCACAACAACCCTGCGAGGAAGGTTAAGCTGAAAGTATGTGACTGGTCCAAAATCACCCAGTGAACTTCCACAGCAAGATGGGGACCTGAACCTTGGTCTTGCAGATGTAGCACTAGCTGCTACATCACACTGCCTTTCATAGGCTGGCTACTGTTGAACAGTA